TTGAAGAAATATTATCCGATCACATGGGAAATGCGGGAATAGTAAACCAGTCCATTAAAATTGATAAGTATTTACAAAATGAGTAGGTCGGTTGGTTTACATTCAGATACATTTAAGGAGAAGATGGAAGAAGAGTGCTGAGCAGAGCCTTCAACTCCAACCACCGCACGTCGGCCATGAGGACTTCGGCTTGCCGATTCTTTTTGTCCAGCTTCAGCCGCTCGACCCGTTTTTTGGCTGCTGCATACTCGGTTAGGCGATCCTTCCCGCCTGACTCGAAGTCTCTAGCAAGCTCGGAAGCAATGGCCGACCGACGCTTTAGTAGTTCGGCCATCTGACGGTCGAGCTCGGCTAACGCGTCTCCTTTTGCCCGTAGATCGTCAATCTTCGGACGGAGGGTGTCTTGAACGGCCGTGGCGGCTTGCAGGTCTTGTTCGGCCTTTAGAGCGGTTTGGAAGATGCTAAATGTCTCCCGAACGCGCTCCAAGGCAGACGATGCCCGAACTATGGCATCTCCGCTCAGGCGACCGTCGGCTCCAAGGTCGTTCAGACACACGCCGAGCAGATCAAGACCGTTGCGCTCAAGTACTTGCGATGATGAGAGCGACAGGACTTCTCGCAGCTGGGTTAGGGCGCTGGGATCGGCAGCTTCGGTCGTAGCGGCCGAAGGACCAGACTCTGCAATAGTACTGGAGAGGAGGGCTTTGAATTCGACCTCCCAGGAAGCCTGCACATACAAATCAGGTTAAGTTTAAAAGAAGTCATGACAGGAGTAGCAAGAAGTTTCGTTTTTTAACCTGCCGAGAGGAGACCTCGGCCATGTCTCCAGGATCGTTGGTCGAACCTAAAGAACTCAATGGCCGAGCCCAGTGTTTCAGGTTGCTTCTCAGTTCACGCGGCCGATGGAGGTTATCTACGTTTGATGGCCACTGAGGCGGCCACGAAATGTAGATAACGCCCTTCGGCGCATAGAATTCTCGGTGAAAAGAATGTACAGGCACCTGACATTTATTATTTTCCTCGTTTAGAATTCTAAAGAAAAAAGCAATCAAGGAAAGATGGTCGAAGGTACTTACGAAGGCCGAAGTAACCTCCTGTGGAGGAATGTGGAAGCCCTGGTCTTGGGGATGAACGGGCGAGTCCGCCGTTGCCTCGGGTTCGTCGAGCGGGCGTTTGCCACGGTCGGCTGCAGATGGGCCGACCGGAACAGCCGTTTCGGAGGAGGCAGGGACATCCTGGTCCTGAGAGGGAACGAGAGGTTCGGCCACTGCCGTGGGTTCCTCGACCGGACGCTTGCCACGGTCAGCCGTGGAGGGGCCGGCTTGAACCACCATCTCGGACCTTGGGGGAGGTTGCCGGCGAGGGTGCGGACAATCTGCCAGCGGGACCTCGTCGCTCCCCTCACTCTCTTCCAGAATGAAGACCGAGGGCTTTGGATTTTCAGGGGTTTTTCCCTCGGTCACAGAAACCACATTTTTTGGAACGGGTGCTTTCTCGGCGGAGGGAGGCGCAACTGGTATACCAGTCCCAGAGACAGGCCGCGTTCCAATTGTCTCTGCGGCCGGGGCCGGCTGTTTCTCGACTGAGGTTTCAACAACGGCAGGAGAAGGGGAAACACTGGGAGTAGTCGCCCATGTAGTTTGACTGGAGATGACGTGGATCTCCCGTGCACCCTTCTTTGCCAGCTGTTTTACCCGCTTGGCAGGCTGTGGAGGTTCAACGACCGGCTCGACCTCTTGACGAGGTCGTTTGGTCAGCACGGCCCGACCGGCGGTTTTATCCTTTTTAGCCACGATCGATTTTTTCTCGGTCGTGACCGCGGCAACAGCCTCCATTTTTCTGGAAGGCCGACTACCTAAGAAGATAAAAACGGGTCAGTAAGGCAAAGCAATATGCAAGGTTGAAAAAAAAAAAAAATTGTGAGAAATGAACAATTACCTTGAGTTTGGGGGACCGAGGCCTTCTTAGGTCGGTCACCGAAGAGTCTGTTCAGTACCTCTTCGACCGGAGCACCAAAGAATTCCTGGGTGTAATTTTCCCACCACTCACCAAAGGTGTCGGTGCAATGGGTTTCTGGGGTGGCCGGTCGAAGGCGGAATTTTTGGCAGGACTCCTGGAACTCCCTCGCGGCCATGTTACATTCCTTCTCCGAGGAACGAGGTTCACGGCCACGGCTTAGGACTGTTCGGGAGGAGAGAAGGGGGACAGGGCAGCCCTGAAGATAGCCGAGTTGTCGGGCTAGGAAGTTCGGATGATATACTTCCCAACCCGACCGTTTCCCATCACAGCCGAGAGGTAGGTCGCGAGCAAGCACAAACGACCCCCAGGTCTGACGAAGATCGGCGTCCTCCTCTGCGCCCCATGTAGAGGTAGGCAGCCTGATGAAGGAAGGATAGCTCCGACGACGACATATCAGGAACTCGTCGTTGGAGAAGTCGTCGAGAGCGAAGAGGTACCGAAATACCTCTTCGGCTTGATGGGGAGGTATCGGTCGAGAGGCCAGCTGAGGTCCAAGCGCCTCCGTTGGTGTGAAGTCAGCTATGGCCGGCTGAAGGGAGGTGAAGTACACTGTAACCAGAGCTGGAAGACCCAGAGGGGACCATTCTGGTGCGGGTCGACCTTGTGGAGGGTTGCCTCGGCCAGGCAACGGAAGAGTTGGGCGAGAATGTTGGAACTCAGTGCCAGGACGTGACCACTAGCCAGGGCTTCGGCTACCGGCATGTTCTCGACCAAACACTTGTTTGACTTGGTACAACAAATGTATTTGTTGTACTAATAGAAGAGGAAGGCTTCATGCTCTCCTTCTCGCAGGTCCTCTTCTCCTCTGCCGGCGAAGTGAAGATAAAGGGTGTTGTAATTACAGAAGTTCTTGTGGAGCTTCTGAATGTCTTCCTTCGACGGGATGTGACCGTCACGGTTCAGGATCTCGAAGGCTCGACGATTGAAAAGCGTCTTCAGATCGATATTCGACGGGTGCCTAGAGAGGGTTGCGTCGACAGGGATCCCGGTTGCCGAAGTCCCCAGAATGGCGGTGATGTCCAGGGTGGTGGGACCAATGGGACCAAGAGGAAGAACCATTGTGTTGGTGGCCGAGCACCAGAAGCACAGAGCGGCTAGGAGAAGCTCCTTGTCGAGGATGACATCCATGGACGAGAGGAGGATGGCATCGTAGATGCCGAGGGTCTTCCATTGCTCGCCGAAGAGCCGTTCCATTCGCACAACCCAGGCTGCCCAGGTTGTGGTCGTCGAAGGCCAGGAGCCCTGGGGTTTCGCCACATCCCATCGCGACCATTCAAACCCTTGAAGCAAGGGTGTTAGGCAGTGCTCCTGGAGAAGGCTGGTGATGGTCGGCGGTATCGCAGCATTGAAGAGAGGACCCAGGATCTGGTGCTGAGTACTCATATCGTTTTCAAAACGTATAGTCTTGATCGAACTCCGATCAAGAATCTTCTGATGTTGGTCACATTCCCCGGTAAGCTTGGAGATGAAGGACGCCATTGTAAGAAGGAAGCAAGGCGTAAAAGGATTTTTTGGGGTGGGGATTTGAAGACGGAGACCTGGAATGGAAAAATGCACTAGAAGAAGGCAATGGCAAGGGATTTCAGAAAATTTTTGGGAGCGTAAAGTACAAATGAGAGAATGTCGTTAGGTATTATAGAGTTGTGGTGTGGAGGGAAGAGCAATCGTTCGAAATTCAAAACAAAGGGCAAAATCGACCGAAGGAATCGTTGAATGATCATGATGAACATTTGGGAAATGCGGTTGAGAAGACTGAAGGTTTTAGGTTTTGAGGGGCGCACGATCGCGTGTGTGACGGCGAAATTGATGACGAAAGACGGTTCGACGCCCGCACGATGACAAGTGGCTCACGGATTGAGGTAGTGGCTCGCGGATTGAGGTAGTGTTTAAGTTCAGCCATAAGATCATGATGGCAAGACGGTTCAGGCTGTTGCACGCTTTGGACGTCATTCTTGGGGATTGGCCATGTTAGGGGACGCCACGTGGCGAATGGTTTAGCAGTATCAAGATCGTGCGATCGTGTTCAATAAATGCGCCTCGGAACTCGGATATTAGGACTCTGAATGGTAGATTCGCTTCTTCAAGGCCGAAACTCGGCCGAAGGTTTCAGGCCGAGGACCTCAGAAGCGAGGGGGCAATGTTTGGGCCCAAAATAATAGTTTGGGCCGAGGGTAGGATCACTCTCGGCCCAGGAGGCCGGGCGGCAAAAGGGCCATAGATCGGTCAACCCGTGGGAGTCCAAACCTAGAGCGGTTAGGACAAGTCCTAGTGCAATGAGGAGTCTCGACGGGATCGGATATCCAGAAAACGAATCCAGCTTAGCTAAGGACTAGATTCATAGTCCTAGTAAATATAGGACTGGTCGAGGTGATCCGGAGAGGGAAACCTAGTCCGAGTAGGATTTAAACTCGGACTCAAGGATCAGTACTATAAATAGGGGACGCTGTGCACCAAGTTAGACCCCTGCAAATCAATACAAAATTGCCCTGCGCAAATTCTCACAACTTTGTGATTTTTCTTGTTCCTTTTTTCGCTGACACATCTTCCGTTGGCATCAACAGCACTGTGGAAGCAACCGGTGATACCTTAAGTCGGCATAGATAGCTCTGTCACCGTAGAGTTAATCGGTCTCGCAGTATCTTCCGTTGGCATCAACAGCACTGCGGCGAGAACGGTTGATTACCTATCCAAGTCTCGGTCGAGAAGGGTTTCTAAATCCTTATTGGTCGAGGTCATCTCATCAGCCTTCTCGGCGAAGTGAGGTGTTACAGTTATTACATTCGGCACATTGAAAGCCGAATTTGATATTGAACTTCGTAAGAATAGTAACCTTGTCTTCAGGTTCGAGAGCCCAAGAAGCCGAGACGTGTTCCTTTCTCGGCCGCAATCGCAAGACGCAGAAGTCAGTAGCGCGACCCAACGCAACATCAACAAATTTACTCCTCGGCCGAGCTCGGCCGACGAGTTGGCACGCCCCGCATTCACCGAAGGACGTAGTTAGCTCATTAATTACTCGGCCTGCGCGCCACGTAGGCTTTGTAGTTTTTAGGGTCAACAAAGTCATTTTTCGGTACGAATGATGAAGACTCAAATTCAAGTCATATTTTCGGTGATCTAGTTATGTAGTTAAGAACTTTGATATCAAGCAAAGTAGGAAACCCATTAATCCATTTAAAAAGCAGAACTTAAATTACTGATAGGGTTAAACTAAGTAAACTATTATAAAAGTTAAAACAGAATAAGGAATGGAAATTCAAACTTTGATATCTAGATGCAGAAATTAGGAGTGGGCAAACAGGTCTAGGAATCGCAGGACGGGGTGGGTCTAGTCAATTCGAGGCAGGTACGGGACGGGTACAAATTTTGTAAACTCCAAACAGAACGGGACGGGATATGGCGAGTCCATGTGAATGGCGGGGCAGGCCAGGTCCAAATTTTTGAAAAAATGGGACCATCGGCCCAGACCGTTGATACCATCCGGAGATTAAATCTCCACCATTGATTTATACATCTCTTACTCTCGGTCTCTCCTCTCTTGATTTCCTAAGTCAAGAGTGGACTCTCCTCGCTCGAATTCCCAAGTGGAGCATCGATCTGGAGGACTCTCTCCAGACTTCACCTACCATCGCTTTGTCATCGTGACTTCAGCTTCTTCATTAATCCATAAGCGATGGTCGCCGCAAGGATGCCAGCAGGTGTTTGGCAAAGATGATCAAGGACAAGGACATCACCACCTCCCTCGACGGCCTCACGGAGAAGGAGATCGGCGTCCTCGCCAACTAGGAGAAAATGTTCGAAGCTTACCCAGTTATTGAAGTTGAGCTTGTGTTTGCCGCTTGAGGTCTTCCATTTGTGCCATCTTTCTGGTTTATTTTTTGATTTGAAGCTGTTTGTGGGGAATTCTAAATAAAACAAAAGGATCCAAAGAGGGAATTTGTTATTTTTTATGTTGTATGCAATCACTAATTTGGAGCTAAAGTTGTAGTAAGTTGTTAAATTTCGGATTTTGATCAATTGGGTTATTATATTGTTAAGCAATCTTGGAAAAGTAGTCATCTGGGTTGTAAAAAATTCAATTTTTGTATTAAAGTTTGTTGCTTTGAAGGTTTTTCTTGAGGAGATGGGCTGGGTGTGTAAATTATGATTGAGTTTTATGATTTGGGTAAATTGGTTGTATTGGGAAATTTGATAGGGAATGAATTGGAATTGTACCCGCGAGGCCCCTAGGAAACAAGCCGGATTAGATCCGGTTCCCATTTCAATTTTTGCATGATTCACCTTGCCCCGCCCCACTATATTTTCAAAAGAGTAGAGTCTGATCCCTTCAATTTTGGGTCCGGTCCGGCCTGGCCCAGCCCGTGCCCATCCCTAGCGGAGATACCAATTAAGTTAATTAACCAATTAACTTTTATCTTTCTGTAATATCAAAACAAATGTTTCCCTTGCAGATGCAGAAGTACCTGGAGACCGTGGAGCTATTATCAAACGAAAAAGCTAACAAGAAACGTACTCAAATGGAATGCAAACCTGCCAAACTGGAGATGCGAGTTTGTATTTGCTAGGGAACTTGCACATATTGTACAATTAGATGAGAGCTAGAGACGGAGTTGGAGACGGCTTAAGACGAGAGCTGGGGTTGTTGTAGACTTGTAGTTGCAGACCAAAAGACGATGGCCAGACACCAGGCAAGAGAACTTGCACAGAGGGACGAGAGTTTCAGGGTCGAGACGACCGGGGAGGGAGAAATGTGGAAATACTTCTTCAATTCGATTTAGGCAATTAGGTTACCGGGGCAAGGACACGAGCCACTTAAGTTAATTATTTTTTAATAAATAAATAAAACCAAACAGCCAAGCCTCCTAGGACCGCATAACTCCAGATTGATTTTACAAAACGATTTGCACAATATCACAGCGGGCCTTTACCGCCTAGCGCTTAGGCACCGCCTAGAGCAAAGGCACCGCCTAAGCGGCCGCCTAAACCGATTTTTAGAACATTGCTCCCAGCGAAGTTCTTCATGACTTTTTTCTGTATATGCTGGCATTGCTGATATTGACTCAAATTTCCCACTTCCACCATCGGGTTCAGGAGTTGCAGCATATGCAACCACTCTACTGCCCCCGAGTTGTTGGCCCCCCAAAAAAGGGTTACTGAATGGGTGAGAAAAAGGAGTTGTATTCTGCCCAAATGGACTGGTAAAAGCACCACCTGTCTGGGCAGCTTGAGGTGTGGGATTGAATGGATTTGAATTAAATGTGGAAGTTGTTGTAGCAGCCGGATAAGAAAATGAAAATGCAGAGCTTGACGAACTAAAGAGAGACGGAGATGAGGTTTGAGGGAAAACTGTAGAAGGTTGTGATGGTGTAAAAGGACTGGTTGAAGTAGAAATTCCAAAACTTGATGAACTGAATGGTGTAGACGTTGTTGTGAAGCCTGTATTAGTGAGGGATGAAGTTTTTGGAGCAAACAAATTAGATGAAGTTGTGGCATCAAAAGGACTTGATGCTTGAGGAAATGTCTGTGCATAATTCAAAGGGTTTGGCTGTGAGGTAGTAATGCCAAACCCACTCTCACCAGCAGGAGCTGGACCACCTGGATGTCGAAAAAATAACATTACGAACTTAGCAAATGTCACTATTGCTGACAAGCGCGGACAAGTTCCAAGATACTGAAACGTTATAACTAGATACCATACCTTTATCCCCCAATTGATAATCCTCCCAGCGGAGTTCCTCATGACTTTTTTCTTTATATGCTGGCATTGCTGATATTGACTCCAATTTCCCACTTCCACCATCGGGTTCAGGAGTTGCAGCATATGCAACCACTCTACTGCCCCCGCGTTGCTGGCCCCCAAAAGCTGACTGCCCAAATGCACCAGTGTTCCCAAATGTTGTTGATTGAGCTCCTGCATCACAAATTTAAGAATATAATACAACTACAATGATACAAAAACAGAACAAGGCATCAGGCTGGTACATTTTATTTTTTCAAAATGTAACACCACTCATATGCATTTGGAATACTCACCAAATGGAGAACTCTGTGCTCCAAAAGGAGATGAAGCGACAAATTGACTGCTACCAAATGTAGAACTTGATTGGCCAAAGGCAGGAGTTAATGGAAAGCTGAAAGATGGAGTACTGGAAGAACCAAAACCAGATGTACCTGTTGAGAGAGGTGTGTGCATATGGGGGGGCGAAACAGAGAAAAAATCATCAGTGACAAGAAGTTATCAAAATAGAGGAACAACTGAGCACAGAGAGATGAATAACATGTAAATTAATAACAGAGGAATTGAGCATCCCATTATACATAGCCTATTGAACCCTGGACCTTGTGGGTAACGCGAGGTTCGCAAAACCACCAAGCTGCCAGGGGCAGGCAATTGAGCATCCTATTATAACCAGATCAATCTTGTTGATGAGCTTTTGAAGTGGAAACGATTCCGCACATGAGCTAAGAAGTAGAGTGAACACATGCCCCTTGAAATACAAGATGAAACCAATCCATCACACACACAAATTACAGCCAGAGTAGTAAAGGTATAGTAATCATCCCTATTCCACTCTCAAAGTCTTAATTCCCCCCTAATAATATTTGGTCGTTTCACAAGCCAGCTGCACCAATAGATGTGTAACAAATATAAAGTTCAACAACAATATATCCATCTTGTACAGAAACCATATTACACTCATACACTTCCAGAAAAACACTCAATGCAAACTTGAAGGGCATAGTAGACAATGCAAATGATTTCCAATAACCATATATCATAAAAGTTATATCAAAAGAATCAGTTGAAAAGTGGTGAGCAAACACAAAACAAACAAAAAAAGTTAAATTTAATCCAATGGCTTACCACCAAAAGGTGATGGTGAAGGACTAGAAGTTGCTCCAAAAGCAGTCGTTGTATTTGTTGAATTGTGGCCAAGTGGCCAAGTGGACAACAAAACAAAACAACTTTCGGCTAATAAACAAACCAAAATAAAAAAAAAGGTGAAAGACATCATGATGAGGAAGCATCATGATTATGTTTGTTGAAAAGAAAAGTTGATGGTCATGATGATGTTTTTGAATTTTTTATTGGATGATGATGATGTCTCTTTGGCTTTTTCTTAAAGAAAAGAATAAGGGTTCGGTTGGTGCAATAAGAGAGAAAAAAAAGGCTCATTTTGTTTTAGAGAAGAGAGAAGAGTGAGTAGAGAGCTGCAGAGAAAAGGAGTGCATCAGAAAAATAGAAAGGGTGCAGCAACCCTTCGTTGAAAAGAAGAAGAAAGTGCTCTTCTTTTTGTTAGCAATCATCCATCATAATTGTTGTTGTAATAGCTTTGAGCTATATGTATAGAGAAGAAATTATACATTATATTTCTTTCTCTATTTGTTTCTGTGGTGTGTGAGAGCTATTGGGTGTATTGGGTTATTTGGGTTGTGAGATTGCCAACACTTTGTAAACTCCCATTTGTTTGATAGTGGATTATTGGGTGAGCTCCTACTGCTCCGAGGACGTACTCCAGTTACACTGACTGTTGAGGAACCTCGTTAAAATCTTGGTGTTCTTTTATATTTTGTTCTTGCATTTTCATTTGATAAATTTCCTGTGGGTTAGCTTGAGTTGGTTCCAACGGTTTTGGTGTTATCCTAGCACAACAGTATTTCCAAAAGCTCGTGACGACGCAGCACCGAAGGTTGTGGAGGAAGGAAAAGGTGAAGATGCAGAAAATAAAAATGCAGACCTTGACGAACTAAAGAGAGACGGAGATGAGGTTTGAGGGAAAACCGTAGAAGGTTGTGATGGTGTAAAAGGACTGGTTGAAGTAGAAATCCCAAAACTTGCTGAACTGACTGGTGTAGACGTTGTTGTGAAGCCTGTATTCGTGAAGGATGAAGTTTTTGGAGCAAACAAATTAGATGAAGTTGTGGCATTAAAAGGACTTGATGCTTGAGGGAATGTCGGTGCAGGATTCAAAGGGTTTGGCTGTGAGGTAGTAATGCCAAACCCACTCCCACCAGCAGGGGCTGGACCACCTGGAAGTAAAAAAAAATAACATTTTGAACTTAGCAAATGTCATTATTGCTGACAAACGCAGAAAAGTTCCTAGATACTGAAACGATATAACTAGAAACCAAACCTTTATCCCCCAATTGATAATCCTCCCAGCGGAGTTCTTCATGACTTTTTTCTTTATATGCTGGCATTGCTGATATTGACTCCAATTTCCCAGCAGCACTAGTCCCAGTTCCACCATCGGGTTCAGGAGTTGCAGCATATGCTACCACTCTACTGCCTCCGCGTTGCTAGCCCCCAAAAGCTGACTGCCCAAAGGCACCAATGTTCCCAAATGTTGTTGATTGAGCTCCTGCATCACAAATTATAAGAATATAATACAACTACAACGATACAAAACAGAATGAGGCATCTCGTTGGACCATTTTATTTTTTTCAAAATGTACCACCACCCATATGCATTGGGAATACTCACCAAACGGAGAACTCTGTGCTCCAAAATGAGATGAAGCGGCAAATTGGCTGCTACCAAATGTAGAACTTGATTGGCCAAAGGTAGGAGTTGATGGAAAGCTGAAAGATGGAGTACTGGATAAACCAAAACTAGGAGCACTTGAAGCACCAAAAGCTGGATTGTTTGAAGTACCAAAGGTCGAGCTAGATGAACCAAAAGCCGGAGTGCTTGAAGCCCCAAATGCTCCCCCAGATCCAAACAAGGGAGAACTTGACACCCCAAATGCAGCTCATGTGCTTCCAAATGTAGGACTTGTTGTGGAACCAAAGGCCGGGCTCGTTGTACCTCCAAAGGCTGGGGTGCTTGAAGCACCAAAAGCTGGGGTGATGGTAGCACCAAAGGCTGGACTACTTGTAGCACCAAACGCTGGGGTGCTTGTAGCACCATAAGCTGGGGTGGTGGTAGCACCAAATGCTGGCTGACTTGATCCACCAAATGGCGTGGAGGAACCAAATATACTGCTCCCAAATGCTGGCTGTGATGCTTGAGTTGTACTTCCAAAAGGACTTGTTTGAGCAGGATTGGACCCAAATGCTCCAAACACAGGCTTCTGACCAAAACCAGATGAACCTGTTGAGAGAGGTGTGTGCATATGGGGGAGAGAAACAGAGAAAAAAATCATCAGGGACAAGAAGTTATCAAAATAGCGAAACAATTGAGCACAGAGAGATCAAAATAGCGAAACAATTGAGCACAGAGAGATGAATAACTTGGGGTGGTGGTAGCACCAAAGGCTGGACTAATTGTAGCACCAAGGCTGGGGTGCTTGTAGCACCAAAAGCTAGGGTGGTGGTAGCACCAAATGCTGGCTGACTTGATCCACCAAATGGCGTGGAGGAACCAAATATACAGTTACCAAATGTAGAACTTGATTGGCCAAAGGCGGGAGTTGATGGAAAGCTGAAAGATGGAGTACTGGATGAACCAAAACTATGAGCACTTGAAGCACCAAAAACTGGATTGCTTGAAGTACCAAAGGTCGAGCTATATGAACCAAAAGTCGGAGTGCTTGAAGCCCCATATGCTCCCCCAGATCCAAACAAGGGAGAACTTGACACCCCAAATGCCGCTCATGTGCTTCCAAATGTAGGACTTGTTGTGGAACCAAAGGCTGGGCTACTTGTAGCTCCAAAAGCTGGGGTGCTTGTAGCACCAAAACTTGGGGTGGTGGTAGCACCAAAGGCTGGACTACTTGTAGCACCAAAGGCTGGGGTGCTTGTAGCACCAAAACTTGGGGTAGTGGTAGCACCAAAGGCTGGACTACTTGTAGCACCAAAGGCTGGGGTGGTGGTAGCACGAACTGCTGGCTGACTTGATCCACCAAATGGCGTGGAGGAACCAAATATACTGCTCCCAAATGTAGAACTTGATTGGCCAAAGGCGGGAGTTGATAGAAAGTTGAAAGATGGAGTACTGGATGAACCAAAACTAGGAGCACTTGAAGCACCAAAAGCTGGATTACTTGAAGTACCAAAGGTCGAGCTAGATGAACCAAAAGCCGAAGTGCTTGAAGCCCTATATGCTCCCCCAGATCCAAACAAGGGAGAACTTGACACCCCAAATGCAGCTCATGTGCTTCCAAATGTAGAACTTGTTGTGGAACCAAAGGCTGGGCTACTTGTAGCTCCAAAAGCTGGGGTGCTTGTAGCACCAAAACTTGGGGTGGTGGTAGCACCAAAGGCTGGACTGCTTGTAGCACCAAAGGTTGGGGTGCTTGTAGCACCAAAACTTGGGGTGGTGGTAGCACCAAAGGCTGGACTACTTGTAGCACCAAAGGCTGGGGTGGTGGTAGCACCAAATGCTGGCTGACTTGATCCACCAAATGGCGTGGAGGAACCAAATATACTGCTCCCAAATGCTGGCTGTGATGCTTGAGTTGTACTTCCAAAAGGACTTGTTTGAGCAGGATTGGACCCAAATGCTCCAAACACAGGCTTCTGACCAAAACCAGATGAACCTGTTGAGAGAGGTGTGTGCATACGGGGGAGAAAACAGAGAAAAAAATCATCAGTGACAAGAAGTTATCAAAATAGCGAAACAATTGAGCTCAGAGAGATGAATAACATGTACCCAAATAACACAGGAATTGTATGGATTGAGCATCCCATTATAACTAGATCAATCTTGTTGATAAGCTTCTAAAGTGGAAATGATTCCGCACATAAACTAAGAAGCAAAGTGAACACATGCCCCTTGAAATACAAGATGAAACCAATCCACCACACAAAAATTACAGCCAGAGTAGTAAAGGCATAGTAATAATCCCTATTCCACTCTCAAAGTCTTAATTCCCCCCTTTATGATATTTGTCGTTTCACAAGCCAACTGCACCAATAGATGTGTACCGAACAGAAAGTTTCAACAACAATATATCCATCCTGTACAGAATGCATAATCCACTAATATCACGTACTGAAAGCATAATCCACTCATACATTTCCAGAAAAAAAACTCAATGCAAACTTGAAGGGACAATGCCAATGATTTCCAATAACCATATATCATAAGAGTTGAATCAAAAGAATCAGTTGAAAAGTGGTGAGCGAACACAAAACGAAACAACAACAACAACAACAACAACAACAACAAAGCCTTTTCCCACTAAGTGGGGTCGGCTATATGAATCCTAGAACGCCATTGCGCTCGGTTTTGTGTCATGTCCTCCGTTAGATCCAAGTACTCTAAGCCTTTTCTTAGAGTCTCTTCCAAAGTTTTCCTAGGTCTTCCTCTACCCCTTCGGCCCTGAACCTCTGTCCCGTAGTCACATCTTCGAACCGGAGCGTCAGTCGGCCTTCTTTGCACATGTCCAAATCACCGGAACCGATTTTCTCTCATCTTTCCTTCAATTTCGGCTACTCCTACTTTACCTCGGATATCCTCATTCTCAATCTTATCCTTTCTCGTGTGCCCACACATCCCACGAAGCATCCTCATCTCTGCTACACCCATTTTTGTGTACGTGTTGATGTTTCACCGCCCAACATTCTGTGCCATACAACATCGCTGGCCTTATTGCCGTCTTATAAAAATTTTCCCTTGAGCTTCAGTGGCCTACGACGGTCACACAACATGCTGGATGCACTCTTACACTTCATCCATCCAGCTCGTATTCTATGGTTGAGATCTCCATCTAATTCTCCGTTCTCTTGTAAGATAGATCCTAGGTAGCGAAAACGGTCGCTTTTTGTGATCTTCGCTAAATTGCTCCGGTCATTAGTGTGGATAAGTATATAAATGGATAGAGATAGGAAAGCAAACACAAGATGTACGTGGTTCACCCAGATTGGCTACGTCCACGGAATAGAAGAGTTCTCATTAATTGTGAAGGGTTTACACAAGTACATAGGTTCAAGCTCTCCTTTAGTGAGTACAAGTGAATGATTTAGTACAAATGACATTAGAGTACAAATGACATTAGGAAATATTGTGGGAGAATGATCTCGTAATCACGAAACTTCTAAGTATCGGAGTGTGGTATCATCTTGACTTGCCTTATCTGTCTCATAGGTAGATGTGGCAGCTTCTCTGGAAGTACTCTTCCTCCATCCAGGGGTGGTATCTTTAACTGGTGGAGATGCACAAGGTAATGTATCAATTTCACTTGAAGCTTACTTGTAGTTTCAGGCTTGGTCAAGCGCGATACAAACCATGTAGTAGGAGTCCCCCAAGTCGCCGAGCTAGGGGATTTGCTGAAAGAGGTGACAGACAAGGTAAGCAATCAGAGCTCCGGCTGATTGTTCACCTTCTCCCCATCTTGCAGCAGCATGAAGGATAAAGAGAAGAAAAATGAGAAGAGATGATATGGGATACTTTTGCTTTTGAAGAAGTAACTTTCCACAGGCTTATTCTTGAACTGAGCTGGAGGGTTTTCTGGTTTCCTCCAGAGTATAAGGCCGACTGAAGAATTTGAGGGTCAAAACAAGTCCATCAAATCTAGAGTACGTTCGACCCTGCTGATATGGGATACTTTTGCTTTTGACAGAGTAATGGATGGATCGGCACGTGTGCTGTTACGCTTGTCTCCACATGCTTCCTTGTATCCTTCGCACTTGCCCTATCTGTTCCTCAAGCAGATGCGGTATCTTCCCTGGCAACATAAGATGTTGAAGATGAGTACTCGAGAGCAATGCCAGGTAAGTAATCAGGTAAGGGGTTCCAGGCTGTCAGTTCCTGGCTGGGAGCTTGATTTCAAGTGCTGACTGATTGCTCTCTTTCTCCTTATCTTGCAGGTAAAAACAAGGCCAAAGGAAAAGACAGGGAAAAAGCATGATATGGGATACTCTTGCTTTTAACCCTGATGATATGAGATATTCTTGCTCTAGTATAGCTTGTTTGCAGAGGTATTATCGGGGGGAAAGAAAGCTGAATATTTCGAAAGGCTTCGTTGGGAGTGCCCTCTCAGATATGAGGAAGGGTTGAGCATTTTTGCAGGTCTGCCTGTCCGTTGGGGATGGAGGTCGACATATATAGGAGTCTCCCTAACAAGTAGTAATGCTATTCCTTTACCCTGCTTGGTCATAGCACGGTAGTGGGAGCTGCCAGCTTCACATGTTTTAACTCTGTCAGAGCACTTTGAAAAAGTGGTATGTGGTATCTGACTCTCGAGATTCGGAGAACGATGCTTCTTCGATTTTTGAGAAAGCAATCATGGTGGGGGTCTGGCTCTCGAGATTCGGGGAGCAGTGTCTCTTCGATTTTTGAGAAAGTAATCATGTTGGGAGTCTGGCTCTCGAGATTCGGAAGGCGGTGCCTCTTCGATTTTTGGAGTAAGCAATCTTGTTGGGAGTGTTTTCTCGGATGTGAGTAAAGGTTGGGCATGTTTGCTAGTCTACCTTGCCACGAAGCACGGAGGTTGACACACAGGGACTTTCCAATTATCCAGCAGTGGTACTGTTCCTTTACCCTTGTGGGTAATAATATGGTAGCTAGACCTTCAAAATTTATGTGTCTAAACTTTGTTAGTGCTGTTTCTTTGCTATTCTTTTACCTTTCTTGGTCAGAGCGATGTAGTGGGAGCTGCAAGCTTCACGTGCTCAACTTTGGCAGAGACTTTGACAAAGTTATCTGTGGTACCCATGAGCTATTGTTGCGTGTGGGAAGTGGGTGATTGAACAGTAAGATTCCTGTGCTTTCTACTTCACCAGAAGTCTTCGACAGAATGCCCATAATTTCCGCAAAGCTGAGTGTGCGTGTGACAGGTGCTGACAAGGCTAGAAAAGAAGGTGCCTCTTCGATTTCTGAGATCGGCCCTCGTGGTCTCTGAGCAGCCCAGCTTTTGAGAAAGCGAGCGCCTCTTCGATTGATTCGGAGAACGATGCCTCTTCGATTTTTGAGAAAGCAATCATGCTGGGGGTCTGGCTCTCGAGATTCGGGGAGCAGTGTCTCTTCGATTTTTGAGAAAGTAATCATGTTGGGAGTCTGGCTCTCGAGATTCGGAGGGCGGTGCCTCTTCGATTTTGGAGCAAGCAATCTTGTTGGGAGTGTTTTCTCGAATGTGAGTAAAGGTTGGGCATGTTTGCTAGTCTACCTTGCCACGAAGCACAGAGGTTGACACACAGGGACTTTCCAATTATCCAGCAATGGTACTGTTCCTTTACCTTCTCTTCGATTTTTGAGAAAGTAGTCATGTTGGGAGTCTGGCTCTCGAGATTCGGAGGACGGTGCCTCTTCGATTTTGGAGCAAGCAATCTTATTGGGAGTGTTTTCTCGAATGTGAGTAAAGGTTGGGCATGTTTGCTAGTCTGCCTTGCCACGAAGCACGGAGGTTGACACACAGGGACTTTCCAATTATCCAACAGTGGTACTGTTCCTTTACCCTTGTGGGTAATAATATGGTAGCTAGACCTTCAAAATTTATGGGTCTAAACTTTGTTAGTGCTGTTTCTTTGCTATTCTTTTACCCTTCTTGGTCAGAGCGATGTAGTGGGAGCTGCAAGCTTCACGTGCTCAACTTTGGCAGAGAACTTTGGCAAAGTTATCTGTGGTACCCATGAGCTATTGCTGCGTGTGGGAAGTGGGTGATTGGACAGTAAGATTCATGTGTTTTCTACTTCCCCAGAAGTCTTCGACAGAATACCCATAATTTCCGCAAAGCTGAGTGTGCGTGTGACAGGTGCTGACAAGGCTGGAAAAGTAGGTGCCTCTTCGATTTCTAAGATCGGCCCTCGTGGTCTCTGAGGAGCCCAGCTTTTGAGGAAGCGAGCGCCTCTTCGATTTCTGAGATCGGCTTTCGTGGTCTTTGAGCAGCCCAACTTTTGAGAAAGCAAACACCTCTTCGATTTATGAGATCAACCCTCGTGGTCTCTAAGCAGCCCAGCTTTTGAGAAAGCAAACGCCTCTTCGATTTCTGAGCAGGCGCCTCTTCGATGTCTAAAGCTCCGTCGAGTGCAGCTTTTTATAGGGGCTGGCATTAAGTTCCAAAGCACACTTGTATCTCCACCAGTAGAAGCTCCATTCTTGCACTTCTAAGATCTTGATTTGTCCGACCTCTTCTCTCTTCAATACCTTTGAAAATGTCTGGCCCCTCCGACCGTCGTTTTGACTTGAACCTTGTTGAAGAGGCAGCCCCGCCTTCTCCAGACAACATATGGCGCCCATCCTTCGTCTCCCCTACTGGTCCTCTTACCGTTGGGGATTCCGTGATGAAGAAATGATATGACCGCTGCGGTGGTGGCCAGGAACCTTCTCACTCCCAAAGATAACAGACTACTTTCCAAACGGTCTGATGAGTTAGCTGTTAAGGATTCACTGGCTCTCAGTGTTCAGTGTGCAGGTTCTGTGTCTAATATGGCCCAACGCCTATTTGCTCGAACCCGCCAAGTTGAATCATTGGCGGCCGAAGTGATGAGTCTCAAACAGGAGATTAGAGGGCTCAAGCATGAGAATAAACAGTTGCACCGGCTCGCACATGACTATGCTACAAACATGAAGAGGAAGCTTGACCAGATGAAGGAAACTGATGGTCAGGTTTTACTTGATCATCAGAGATTTGTGGGTTTGTTCCAAAGGCATTTATTGCCTTCGTCTTCTGGGGCTGTACCGCGTAATGAAGCTCCAAATGATCAACCTCTGATGCCTCCTCCGTCTAGGGTTCTGTCCAGTACTGAGGCTCCGAATGATCCCCCTCCGATGCCTTCTCTTTCTGGGGCTCTACCGACTGCTGAGACTTCTCCTAAGCAACCTTTGTGAAGGCTCCATCTTGTTTGTTTATTTTGACTCATGTATATGTACATATTTGTAGCTTATCGGGGATATCAATAAATAAGTTTTCCTTCATTTCAACGTATTGTGTTAAATACACCAAAGCCTTCTTCGCTAAGTTCTTTGAATTTTCTTTTTTGTTGAAGCTTGTATGTTGAAGCTTTCTGAGTGGAGCATGTAGGTTGGGGTAGTGTTCCCTTAATTTTTCGAGTGAGGAAAACTTCTCGGTTGGAGACTTGGAAAATCTAAGTCACTGAGTGGGATCGGCTATATGAATCTTAGAACGCCATTGTGCTCGGTCCTGTGTCATGTCCTTCGTTAGATCCAAGTACTCTAAGTCTTTTCTTAGAGTCTCTTCCAAAGTTTTCCTAGGTTTTCCTCTACCCCTTCGGCCCTGAACCTCTATCCCATAGTCGCATCTTCTAATCGGAGCGTCAGTAGGCCTTCTTTGCACATGTCCAAACCACCGTAACCGATTTTCTCTCATCTTTCCTTCAATTTCGGCTACTCCTACTTTACCCCGGATATCCTCATTCCTAATCTTATCCTTTCTCGTGTGCCCACACATCCAACGAAGCATCCTCATCTCCGCTACACCCCATTTTGTGTACGTGTTGATGCTTCACCGCCCAACATTCTGTGCCATACAGCATCGCCGGCCTTATTGCCGTCCTATAAAAATTTTCCCTTGAGCTTCAGTGGCATACGGCGGTCACACAACACGCCAGATGCACTCTTCCACTTCATCCATCCAGCTTGTATTCTATGGTTGAGATCTCCATCTAATTCTCCGTTCTTTTGCAAGATAGATCCTAGGTAACGAAAACGGTCGCTCTTTGGTATTTTCTTGATCTCCGATCCTCACCCCTAACTCGTTTTGGCCTCCATCTGCACTGAACTTGCACTCCATATATTCTGTCTTTGATCGGCTTAGGCGAAGACCTTTAGATTCCAACACTTCTCTCCAAAGGTTAAGCTTTGCATTTACCCCTTCCTGAGTTTCATCTATCAACACTATATCGTCTGCGAAAAGCATACACCAAGGAATATCATCTTGAATATGTCCTGTTAACTCATCCATTACCAACGCAAAAAGGTAAGGACTTAAGGATGAGCCTTGATGTAATCCTACAGTTATGGGAAAGCTTTCGGTTTGTCCTTCATGAGTTCTTACGGCAGTCTTTGCTCCTTCATACATATCCTTTATAGCTTGGATATATGCTACTCGTACTCCTTTCTTCTCTAAGATCCTCCAAAGAATGTCTCTTGGGACCCTATCATACGCTTTTTCCAAATCTATAAAGACCATGTGTAAATCCTTTTTCCCATCTCTATATCTTTCCATCAATCTTCGTAAGAGATAGATTGCCTCCATGGTTGAGCGCCCTGGCATGAACCCGAATTGGTTGTCCGAAACCCGTGTCTCTTGCCTCAATCTATGCTCAATGACTCTCTCCCAGAGCTTCATTGTATGACTCATTAACTTAATACCCCTATAGTTCATGCAATTTTGTACGTCGCCCTTATTCTTGTAGATAGGCACCAAAGTGCTCGTTCGCCACTCATTTGGCATCTTCTTCGTTTTCAAAATCCTATTGAAAAGGTCAGTGAGCCATGTTATACCTGTCTCTCCCAAAACTTTCCACACTTCGATTGGTATATGTTTCATCTTGTATTTCAAGGGGCATGTGTTCACTTTGCTTCTTAGTTTATGTGCGGAATCATTTCCACTTTAGAAGCTTATCAACAAGATTGATCTAGTTATAATGGGATGCTCAATCCATACAATTCCTGTGTTATTTGGGTACATGTTATTCATCTCTCTGAGCTCAATTGTTTCGCTATTTTGATAACTTCTTGTCACTGATGATTTTTTTCTCTGTTTTCTCCCCCGTATGCACACACCTCTCTCAACAGGTTCATCTGGTTTTGGTCAGAAGCCTGTGTTTGGAGCATTTGGGTCCAATCCTGCTCAAACAAGTCCTTTTGGAAGTACAACTCAAGCATCACAGCCAGCATTTGGGAGCAGTATATTTGGTTCCTCCACGCCATTTGGTGGATCAAGTCAGCCAGCATTTGGTGCTACCACCACCCCAGCCTTTGGTGCTACAAGTAGTCCAGCCTTTGGTGCTACCACCACCCCAAGTTTTGGTGCTACAAGCACCCCAACCTTTGGTGCTACAAGCAGTCCAAGGACTAGAAGTTGCTCCAAAAGCAGGCGTTGTATTTCCAAAAGCTGGTGAGGACGCAGCACCAAAGGTTGTGGAGGAAGACGAAGGTGAAGAAGCTTGAGTGCCACTAAATACACCAGTTGAAGTTCCTCCAAAGATGTTACTCCCTGTTTGCGCACCAAATGGGGTTGTGCTACCAAAAGGCTTAGGGGCAAAAGGATTGTTACTTGTGCTGCTGGTCTGCCCAAATACCGACTGAGACCCAAACGGGCTGCTAGATGACTGCCCAAAAGCTGTTAAACAATATTCCACAAGTTAAATTATTTTCGCAACGAAAAAAATTACCAAGCCCGAACATTTATCAGACAATCAAACATTATAAACAGAAGACCAGATAAACACAAGAAATTGCCCGTAAAAATGCTGCTAATAAATGCATGTCATACTCATCTTACAACGAAGCATATCACATATGATTGATGAAAAATACAGGAAGCAATTATTTGTATCGGAACAAATTAAAATATATTGAATGCAGTTAAAATGATGCAACAAAATCTGACTCCAAGGATCAATAAAAGATAGAGTGATAAAAAAGCTTACGATTAGAAGAACCGAACATCTTCTCTTACGATTCGGCAATCAAAACCCGGGCTATTTCCTCCATCTCGAGCTGTAACGCATACACAACGTTAACACAAATTGCAGCACAAAAGACATATTTAACAAAGCATCGAGGATTCAAAAACACAAGAACTCCCTAAAACGCGAGTCGTATAAAACGCAAACGACAGCATTAACGCATTAAATCAGGCCTTAAGCGCAATCGTAAACCTAATTACCAGAAGAAACCCGAGGATTAGGGTTTTCTAAGTACCTGAAAGTGAGCGAAGGCGAAAGTAGGGATTTGGAAGGCGGAGGCGTCGGTGGTCGATCTGAACTCGACGGACGTGGTGAGTTTTGAGATCGGAGGCGGCAGAAGGCGGCGGAGAGAGGTCGAGAGAGGAAGGTTTGGAGTCGCAGAAGGGAAAAGAGTGAGAGAGCGAGGGCGAGTTGGCGCAGCCTCCCGAACTCTCACAAATGTCAGATAGTATGTTGAGGAATTTGGGAAGTCTGAATTGTGAATACATGAAAAGGAAAGTTCGTTGACTGACAAAATCTTGTATTGCTTTAACAACACGTTAATTTATTCGAAACTAGTAAAACAAGGATTTGGATCGTCTCCTGAGCTAATGGAGAGTATCCTTTTATCCAACTGCTATAATTATTATAACTTTAAAGGGATCCCCTGTTTGTAACCGTTAGATAAAAATTCAACGGCCATTGCTTAGTGGTCAGGAGGTTCCTCTTCATTAGCTCAGGAGAGGATCCAAGTTCGTATAACAATAGCAAGTTACACGCGAAAGTACGTAGAGTTGGAAAAGAAAACGAGTTGAATGAAGTATCATATAGACTCTACCTACTTATTTGGAATGGGTGAAATTGTAAGTTGGAAAAAAAAAAGTAGAGCTGAAATGCAATATGTGTTGAATGAAAGTACTGTTTTATTATTAATGACATGTTTACTTATTCGAGACGAATAAAATCACGAGTTAAAAAGAAAGTAAATACAATTATAAAAGAATGAGTTGAACGAAACTACCACATTGTTGTTAATGGCACCCAATCACAACTCCATCTCTCTCTCTAAATCACCCTGCACTCACTGCTTGTTCTTTCACTTCCTCCATTTCATTAAAAAAAAAAAAAAGGAAACTTGATTAAGAAACAAAGGTTATTGCCTGCACTCCCCAACCACCACCGACCCTCCTCCTCTTCCTGTAGTCGTGGAGGAAGAATTGAGTGGCAATAAATTGAAGAGGAATTGAAATGGGTAGAGGTAGAATTAAATTTCTGATAAAACTGAATCAAATTGAAAGCTAATCATATTTTGCGGCAATTGAAATTTAAAACCTCTCTCTTACTCTTTCTCGTGAAGCCCGCACCCCATCCTGGTTCTTCTTCCCCATCCTCCAACTCTTTTCAGCTTCCATCTTTTGTATAGAAAAAGTTGATTCCGGATGCAGGATTTCTCCCGGAATCCAAATGCCACACATTGTTCGGAGTCAGATTCCGAAAAAATGGGAGTCTAATCTCCATAATTTATGGGTCCCACCTATATTTTGATTAAACATTTGAATCACATGGAATATTGAGTGCAATTCTCGTTCATCCTCTCGTTCCGCTCTCCGCGTAAACACGCCACCTTTCCTCCCATGCTTCCCACTCTTATTAAATAAATAACCTTTTCTGCGTCCTCTTTCCAATTTTTAATCTTTCTGATTAAACAAAGATGGAAACAAAGACCACTGGAAATTACCATTTCTGCAGTTCTGAGGTTCTGTTTGACGTACTATTCTACTGGGGGAGGTCAGGAAGGTCTAAACAGAGAGCCTTGGCTGAGATTTTTTTCACATCAGGTAAAAAAAGCACTTTCCACTTCAGAAACTTTTTCTTTAGAGAAATACAAGTTACCCAGTTTGCAGCTGCTGCTTCTGAGTACAAATCCTTGCTTGTTTCCAGTGGACTTTGTTGGGTTTGTGATGTTCTTGCCAATAAAATTTGGGGACAGAAAGATTCAGACTTCAGTGGAGTTTCTTTTAAGAGTTTGTGAGAACTTTAGGGTACTGAGTACCTTGTTTTGTTTCTAGATTCAAACTTCTGTTGCTGGAAATAGGTACATTTCTGAGTGCTTTTCATTTCTTTTCCTTCCATTTCCTAATTTTTTTTGTTTTTTTTGTTCAATGGGATTTTTGAGCTTTTCCTTCCAAGTGTTTGGATCTTGTTCTTGCTTTGTGAGATTTGCATTTTTTTGCTTTGTTTGCGTTTCCAAGTTAAATATGTAAGTTTTATTGATGTTGGGTTTATCATTTATGAGCAAAGATTGAATCTTTACATATTTGGTTGATAGAGTAGTGAGCGATCCTAATGTTTTGCATTTTGCTTTTTCTGCTTATTCCTATATAGAGATATGTATGTTTTTTTTCATGTGTGGTTTATGATTTATGAATAAAGATTGAATCTTTACGTTTTCGATTGATTGTTACTGTTAAGAGTGTGATCTTGATGAATTGTGAATGGTTATATTAATTGGGAACTTATGATTTGTGAAAAAGGCTCGAAATTCTTGAGGTATTGGTTGATGGGTAAAATGTGATTTCTTGATGCTTCATTCGAATTGGAACTTCTTGCAGAAAGAAAAAAATGACCATGGATTGTAGTGGTGGATCGCCAAAGCACCATTACCTAGAATCCAAGAAGAAGAGGCTCACTTGGATCTTCGGGGTTAGTGCCCTCTGCATAGTATGTTACATGATAGGAGCTTGGCAAACCATTTCTGCCCCTGTCAATCAATCTGAGCTCTACCAAAGGGTCAGTTGTGATGAAACGTTATCTCAGTCCCGGAACAAAACTTCCTCATCCATGTCATCATCATCGCTTCACTTGGACTTCGAAAGCCATCATCAAGCGGACATCAACAAAACCAAGGCTGTTCAGAAGTTCCCACCGTGTGACATGTCCTACAGCGAGTACACTCCATGCCAGGATCCAACAAGGGGGAATAAATTCAACAGGAACATGTGGAAAAACAGAGAGAGGCATTGCCCTACCCAAGAAGAACAACTTTTTTGCCTTATTCCTGCTCCGCCAAAGTATAAGATCCCTTTCAAGTGGCCTCGGAGTCGTGATTTTGCTTGGTATGACAACATTCCCCATAGAGAACTCAGCATTGAGAAAGCTGGCCAGAATTGGATTCAAGTCATGGGTGACAGGTTTAGATTCCCCGGGGGAGGTACCATGTTTCGGAGGGGAGCTGATGCGTACATAGATGACATTAACGCGCTCATTCCTCTCACTAAGGGCAACATCAGAACTGCAATTGATACTGGCTGTGGTGTAAGTAGCACATATATGTGTATAGATATATGTATGTATGTATAATTGATTCACACTCCTGTATTGCTAGAAAATTCTGATGCACTTTCCTGTTTGGGTATTTAGGTAGCCAGTTGGGGTGCTTACCTGTTGAAGAGGGACATCGTGACAATGTCTTTTGCGCCAAGAGATACGCACGAAGCACAGGTCCAGTTTGCATTGGAGCGCGGAGTTCCTGCTATGATTGGTGCCCTGGCTTCAAAGAGGCTTCCCTACCCTGCAAGAGCTTTCGATATGGCCCATTGTTCCCGCTGCTTGATCCCTTGGATGAACTATGGTAAGTGTCTATGTCTCTCTTTCTAGTTTGCTTCAACATATTAGACTATCTCACATTACTTGAAGTTTTTGGAGCTGCATACTTCAAGTAGGCATGTGTGTGTGTGTGTATATGTATGTATATATCTATTCAAACCTCCTCAACTAACAGCTTCAACTAAATTTTGGATTAGATACCAATTTCGAAAGCATGTGGATTTTTTCTTGGACTATTTTTGCAGTGGTATGTATCTAATTGAAGTGGACAGAGTTCTAAGGCCTGGTGGTTATTGGATTCTTTCTGGGCCGCCTATTCACTGGAAAAAGAACTGGAGGGGGATGGAACAGAACTCGAGAGGATTTAAAACAAGAGCAAGATTCTATTGAGTCTGTTGCAAAGCGCCTGTGCTGGAAGAAGGTGATCGAGAAGAACGATCTTGCAATCTGGCAAAAACCTATAAACCACGTCAAATGCGTTAAGAGCAGGAAGGTGTATAAAACACCACATATATGCAAATCAGACAATCCAGATATGGCTTGGTAATACTCCCTGAGCTTCATTTGTGATTTCGTTTATTTGATTTGGAATGCAAATTCTCCTGTACTTAACTCTGCTTAATGTGCCATGTTTTGTGCTTAAAAGGGAAAGAGACATGGAGAGATGCATTACTCCTCTACAGGAGACCAGCAATCCCAATGACGTTGCTGGTGGGGCGTTGGAGAAATGGCCAGAGCGTGCATTTGCTGTCCCTCCTAGAATCAGCAGTGGTTCAATACCAGGAATCACTGCTGAGAAACTCCGCGAGGATAATCAACTGTGGAAAGAAAGGGTGGAACAATACAAGCGTATCATACCAATTTCCAATGGAAGGTATAGGAATGTGATGGACATGAATGCTTACCTCGGTGGATTTGCTGCAGCGTTGTCAAAATATCCAGTGTGGGTTATGAACACAGTCCCTGCCAACTCAAACCAGGACACTCTTGGAGTGATTTACGAACGGGGTTTCATTGGAACATACCAGGATTGGTGCGAGGCATTTTCAACTTATCCCAGAACATATGATCTCATCCACGCTGGGGGAGTCTTCAGCATATATCAGGACAGGTAAAGCTCATTCCGCGACAATATGCCTTTGGTCTTTGAGTTTTGTTACTTTGAGGCCTAATGTGGTTTGTACATTGCAGGTGTGACATAACACTCATTTTACTGGAGATGGATAGGATTCTGAGGCCGGAAGGAACTGTTGTGTTCAGGGATACTGTAGAGATCCTGGTGAAAATAAAGGCGATTACCGACGGAATGAGGTGGAAGAGCCAAATTATGGATCATGAAAGTGGACCTTGTTGTGCTAAGATAGCACCAAACCCGTTGGAACCAACTCAAGCTAACCCACAGGAAATTTATCAAATGAAATGCAAGAACAAAATATTAAAGACACCAAGATTTTAACGAGGTTCCTCAACAGTCAGTGTAACTGGAGTACGTCCTCGGAGCAGTAGGAGCTCACCCAATAATCCACTATCAACCAAATGGGAGTTTACAAAGTGTTGACAATCTCACAACCCAAAAGCCCAATACACCCAATAGCTCTCACACACCAAAGAAACAAATAGAGAGGGAAATATAGTGAATAATTTCCTCTCTATACAAAGCTCAAAGCTAATACACAAATACAACTTTGATTGAGTGAGTACCAACAAAGAAAGAAAATCACCTTTCTTTCTTCTCTTCAAAATGGGGCTGCAGCACCTCTGTTTTTGCTCTCATTTTCTGCTACGTTTTTTCCTCTCTTATGGCTTCATTACTACACTTCATCAAAAATAGCAATTATTTCTCTTTCAAAGAACTCATCCGGACTTCCCATGGACCAAGACAACTTTAGACCAATTCCCTTTTCTTTTCCCCAAAACAAGGAAGAGACATAATTATTTTGTCTTTTTTTTCTTTTTGATTTGTTTAATTAAAAGGTGGCCACTTGGCCACATACTCCAACAGACCTTTTAATCCAGAGAAAATTCCTCTTGCTGAGAAAACTTACTGGACTGGCGAAGAAAAAAAAAGAAAGGTAGTAGAGATGTGGTAGTATATTCTTTCTTTCTTTTTTCTCCATTTGCTTGTAATTCTACTTTTTCTTCTTTTTTATTTGAGCTTTTATTCTAACTCACTTGGTGCATAATCAATGTTATGCTCTGGGATTTTGTAAAAGAATTATTATGGATTCATTGAGATAGTGAAATGGCAAATCTCTTTTAAATCGACTCCTTATTGTTTATTTCGTGTGCGTTTCTTGGATCAATTTGAATCAGTCGGAGAGAGACTTCAAACTTGGATATCTTCCGATATTCGGAAGAGAAGTATCCCTAAATCAAGAGCAAGTGAACTCTCGGTTGTGAAAATAGCAACAAGTGTTATGGTTAGTGATTCACCTAACTGGCCAAAGAGTTAGGTAATCCACCCCCTTGAAGCATCATATATTAAAATTAATTTGAATAATGGAAGGCAGTCCTAAGTTCCTAACTCCGTCCCCTAAACTCCTAGTATTTGAGTTAAGGTGTTCAAACTCTTAATTCACATCTGCAAGCTACTTGGAGTTTAAGTAATTAATAATATTGACTTAAGTGATTAAAAATAAGTGGATTAAGGTCTTGGACTTGTTATGAGACTACAAGAGTCATCAGCCTAGTAATAGGCTATCTAAACACAACTTGTAACTCAAGTGATTAAAAATATTTATTCATTTATTTAAGATTATATGTTTGACTTTATCAAATTGATCTTGAAAGTTTTGTCGAGGAGATTAATTTATATGAAACGGGTTTAGCTGCTAGTGTGGCGTCCAAACCAACAAATTGCAACCATAAGATGTTATGCAAACACATTACCTAATAAGAAAGAAAATAAAGGTATTATCCTTAATGACATGTTTATTTATACGGAGTTGGTGAAGTCGTGAATCACGAATATGTAAAGCTAAAAAGGAAAATGAGTTGAATGGAAAATAGTCTATATTTTTAGGGCCACGTTACCCTATTCGAAACCGGTAAAATCGCAAGTTAGATAAGAACGTAAGTAGAGTTGAAAAAGAAAATGAGTTAGAATGAAAGTATCGTATCGTCCATACTAACGTACTTATTTGGAATGGGTGAAATTACAGAAGAAAATTAGTAAAGCTAAGAAAGCAAACGAATTGAATGAAAATGCACATTGTTGTGAATCACATGTTTAATTCATTTTCAATTATTGAAATTGGGAGTCAAGAAAAAAAAATAATGTTGAAAAGGAAAATGAGACGAAGGTATTGTTATTATCTTTAACGACTTATTAACTTATCCGAGATGAGTGAAGTCGCGAGTCAAGAAAATGAAAAAATCGATTAGGACATCTTCAATCGAGGGCGTTTATGAAAATGTATATTTTCAATAACTATTCCACATAAGTAAACACGCTAAAAATTTTACGCTCAAATACTGCTCAAGTAACTAGAGAGGGTGAGATTAGAATTGAAATAGCTACATAATCATTTGAAAATTCATGTGTTTCTTTTCTTCTAACTCAAGTCTAAGTATGTTTCGTAGTCGAATCAAGAAACTTAACTTTGATACTACCTAATCTAAATCATTGGATTCGAAATCTCTCTCCCTAATAGCTTCTACCAGTCAAGTACAACAACATTTCAGATTAAACAAAACAACATACGATTTTTCACATCAGAGGCATGGTCGAAAGTCCATATTGAATCCACGGTGCTGCTCCACCACGATGGATTGACATCTGAGTCCCTGCAGAGCTTTGAGTAAACAACAGGATGTCATTTGCTTCCCAATTCAAGTCCAAATGTTTATTAGAAAGTTTCAAATGACAGAATATAAAGAGGGACGGGAATGAATGACGGAATACTAAGACATTCACAGCTAATGAGATTAGAATTATTTTCTCCGTAACAAACAAGTAAACTCAAAACTATTTGTTAGAGGGACGGGAATGAATGACGAAATACTAAGACATTCACAGATAATGAGATTTGGTTCATCTCACAATGTTTTTCCAATGACAGTGAATGGCATTTAAGATCAAACAGAAGATATACCACTTTTTGTTTCTTCGAATTTGGATCAAGAACAACGACAGTCAATCTAAAACGTAAACATGCATGGGGGATACATTAAGTACAAGAGATAACTTACAACCGTCCCAAATGATTCTGACCAAGAATGCCTGCTGAACCACTGAAGCAACCTGCATTTCATACAGAGGCAAGGCAACCAATTCATAAAAGTCACCACGGTCAACTGAACACGAGCTGATAACACATCCATATAATTAGATGGAGGCTATTGGCAAGCTTCTGAAGTGGATATAGTTCTACACATGACTGACATCAACAACAACAACAACAACAACAACAAAGCCTTTTCCCACTAAGTGGGGTCGGCTATATGAATCCTAGAACGCCATTGCGCTCGGTTTTGTGTCATATCCTCCGTTAGATCCAAGTACTCAAGTCTTTTCTTAGGGTCTCTTCCAAAGTTTTCCTAGGTCTTCCTCTACCCCTTCGGCCCTGAACCTCTGTCCCGTAGTCACATTTTTGAACCGGAGCGTCAGTAGGCCTTCTTTGCACATGTCCAAACCACCGGAACCGATTTTCTTTCATATTTCCTTCAATTTTGGCTACTCCTACTTTACCTCGGATAACCTCATTCCCAATCTTATCCTTTCTCGTGTGCCCATACATCCCACGAAGCATCCTCATCTCCGCTACACCCATTTTGTGTACGTTGATGCTTCACTGCCCAACATTCTGTGCCATACAACATCGCTGGCCTTATTGCCGTCCTATAAAATTTTCCCTTGAGCTTCAGTGGCCTACGACGGTCACACAACACGCCGGATGCACTCTTACACTTCATCCATCCAGCTTGTATTCTATGGTTGAGATCTCCATCTAATTCTCCGTTCTCTTGCAAGATAGATCCTAGGTAGCGAAAACGGTCACTTTTTGTGATCTTTGCTAGATTGCTCCGGTCATTAGTGTGGGAATAAGTATATAAATGGATAGAGATAGGAAAGCAAACACAAGATGTACGTGGTTCACCCAGATTGGCTACGTCCACGGAATAGAGGAGTTCTCATTAATTGTGAAGGGTTTACACAAAAGCAAACACAAGATGTACGTGGTTCACCCAGATTGGCTACGTCCACGGAATAGAGGAGTTCTCATTAATTGTGAAGGGTTTACACAAGTACATAGGTTCAAGCTCTCCTTTAGTGAGTACAAGTGAATGATTTAGTACAAATGACATTAGGAAATATTATGGGAGAATGATCTCGTAGCCACGAAACTTCTAAGTACCGGAGTGTGGTATCGTCTTGACTTGCCTTATCTGTCTGTTGACCCTAGAAATTACAAAGCCTACGTGGCGCGCAGGCCGAGTATTTTCTAAGCTAACTACGTCCTTCGGTGATTGCGGGGCGTGCCAACTCGTCGACCGAGCTCGGCCGAGGAGTAAATTTGATGATGTTGCGTTGAGCGCGCTGCTGACTTCTGTGTCTTGCGATTGCGGCCGAGGAAGGAACAATTCTCGGCCTCTTGGGTTCTAGAGCCTGAAGACAAGGCTGCTAATTTGCGAAGTTCAATCTCAAATTCGGCTGTCAATGTGCCGAATACAGTAACCTGGTAACACCTCACTTCGCCGAGAAGGCTGATGAGATGACCTCGACCAATAAGGATTCGGAAATCCTTCTTGACCGAGACTTGGATAGGTAACCAGTCGTCCTCGCCGTAGTGCTGTTGATGCCAACGGAAGATGCTGCGAGATCAGCTGATTCTACGGTGACAGAGCTATCTATGCCGACTTAAGATATCACCGGTTGCCTTCACAGTGCTGTTGATGCCAACGGAAGATGTGTCGGCGAAAAAAAGAAAATAAAAAATCTCAAGGTGTTGAGAAAGTTTGCGCAGGGCAGTTTTGTGTGTGTTGGAGAGGTCCCCTTGAATGATGCACAGCCTCCTCTATTTATAGCACTAGATACCTTTTGAAGTCGAGTCAAAACCCTACTCGAACTAGGTCTTCTTCTCCGGATCAAACACCCACTCGACCAGTCCTATGTTTTACTAGGATTGTGAGCCTAGTCCTCTATTGAGCCGGATTCACTTCCGGGTTATTACCCTTGCCGAGACTCCTTATCGCGTTAGGACTCGACTAGTAAATGTAATATGACCTAGCCGACCTAGGTTTAGGAGCCCACGTACTAAATGATCCAAGGCTCCCCTGTCGCCAGGCCTCCCGGGCCGAGAGTGGTTCTATACTCGGCCCAACATGTTAATTTGAGCCCAAACACTCTTACTTGAGGATATAATTTGCATCATATCCATCCCGTTTAAGAATATGTCAAGATAATTCAAATTAAAAGATAATCATGATGATAAAACCATAATATTATCTTTTAACAAAAATATTTTCACTTTTCTATCCGACGGCTGAGAACTATGTTTACTCTACGGTCTCGATTACACGGGCCGATGATGTAAATTTGGGTCCAAACATTGCCCCCAGTTTCCTTGAACTTCGGCTCGTAAGCCGAATGATTAAGGAAATTAAGTATCTCCAGCCTAATCAGATGTACTTTTGACCGTCATCCCTTGCTGCTGTTTACTCACGGCTCCTTTCGACCAAAGAACAACTCATGGCCGAAGATAAACAGTTATGAACCAGGGTCGAGAAGAATTGGAATTGGGGGTCGAGGATAAATTTGGCCGAGGTCGAGAAGAGTCTTTTCTTGGCAGCTCGGCCTGCCTACATATATATGCATATCAAACCCATTGTCAGCAATCATGACTATATACATATATATATATATATATTATATATATAATAACCTCAAAACAGCAACCATGACTTATTCGGCCAAACTTTGACCCTAGCATCTTCCTGATTAAATGGTTTTGAAACTTGTCCCCACACTTTAACCATAGGCATGGTACTATTGATAGCAGCGAAAATAACTTTTCTCGGGTCGGCTTGTTTGTCGAGCTCGGCTAAAAACAAAATGACCAAAATTTTGCCGAGCACACCACTTGTTGCCCCTCTTATTTTCTTAAGTATCGGTCAAGGGCCGAATGGTTAAGAAAATAATTTATTATATATAATTATATTTTTAGCAAACGAAAAGAAAAGTGGCCGAAACGTAGTCAGGAGGAGGCCAACGATGCTTTATTCCAAGCCGAGATCTTTTTACATCAAAATTTTCACTTTGACATTTTCCAAAACCGAATAAAAGATCATCTCCCAATATTTCTAACTTGGTGAAATATTTTGCATTTTCGGCCGCCGAATGTGTGGAACAAGTATTATGCCCCCCAGGCATAATTTCGGCGTTTAATTCAAACAACTTAGCCGAATAGGATTTCTCCATATCGACTTTATCGCCAATAATCATATCAATTGGCGTAGATTCTTGGGCTAGGCCTCGGCCTCGTTCGTCATTGGAGCACTCCTCTGACGAATCATTTTCTGAGTCGATTTGTGGCTCAGAAACTTTAACTTTTTCTTCTAGGCCTACCACACTTCCAGTCTCGACCGAAAAAATAGGTGGCCTAGGTTTTTCTTCGTGGCCGACCATATCTTCAGCCTCGACCGAAAAAATAGGTGGCCTTTGTTCTTCGGCCAAATTAACAATTTTCTTAGGCCGATGTCTGATTACGGCCGGAGCGAAAAATTGCCCCCCGGCCTTTGAGCCTAACCATTTTTCAAATGGAATTGATCTGTAATCAGAAACGTAAGGAAAATTTTCTTCATCTAGCCAGGCATTAAATCGAGCCCTGTCTTCATTTACCCATTGCCTTTGCAGGGGGTAACAGGAGCTTTTATTCTCAACATGCAAGCGAATGACTTTTGCATCTCTCCATGGCCACGAAGAACTTTTTCCACTTCCAAAGATCTTTTACATTCCTCATTGTGTTTTCTCAATTCCTCTAGGAGCTCGTACAATCGGCTACGTTGAGCCAGATTGGAATCTTGATATATCATATGAACTTCGTAGTATTAGCACTGGGTCCCACTGGGCGTGCCAAAATGTTGACCCTAGAAATTACAAAGCCTACGTGGCGCGCAGGCCGAGTATTTTCTAAGCTAACTACGTCCTTCGGTGATTGCGGGGCGTGCCAACTCGTCGACCGAGCTCGGCCGAGGAGTAAATTTGATGATGTTGCGTTGAGCGCGCTGCTGACTTCTGTGTCTTGCGATTGCGGCCGAGGAAGGAACAATTCTCGGCCTCTTGGGTTCTAGAGCCTGAAGACAAGGCTGCTAATTTGCGAAGTTCAATCTCAAATTCGGCTGTCAATGTGCCGAATACAGTAACCTGGTAACACCTCACTTCGCCGAGAAGGCTGATGAGATGACCTCGACCAATAAGGATTCGGAAATCCTTCTTGACCGAGACTTGGATAGGTAACCAGTCGTCCTCGCCGTAGTGCTGTTGATGCCAACGGAAGATGCTGCGAGATCAGCTGATTCTACGGTGACAGAGCTATCTATGCCGACTTAAGATATCACCGGTTGCCTTCACAGTGCTGTTGATGCCAACGGAAGATGTGTCGGCGAAAAAAAGAAAATAAAAAATCTCAAGGTGTTGAGAAAGTTTGCGCAGGGCAGTTTTGTGTGTGTTGGAGAGGTCCCCTTGAATGATGCACAGCCTCCTCTATTTATAGCACTAGATACCTTTGAAGTCGAGTCAAAACCCTACTCGAACTAGGTCTTCTTCTCCGGATCAAACACCCACTCGACCAGTCCTATGTTTACTAGGATTGTGAGCCTAGTCCTCTATTGAGCCGGATTCACTTCCGGGTTATTACCCTTGCCGAGACTCCTTATCGCGTTAGGACTCGACTAGTAAATGTAATATGACCTAGCCGACCTAGGTTTAGGAGCCCACGTACTAAATGATCCAAGGCTCCCCTGTCGCCAGGCCTCCCGGGCCGAGAGTGGTTCTATACTCGGCCCAACATGTTAATTTGAGCCCAAACACTCTTACTTGAGGATATAATTTGCATCATATCCATCCCGTTTAAGAATATGTCAAGATAATTCAAATTAAAAGATAATCATGATAAAAACCATAATATTATCTTTTAACAAAAATATTTTCACTTTTCCATCCGACGGCTAAGAACTATGTTTACTCTACGGTCTCGATTACACGGGCCGATGATGTAAATTTGGGTCCAAACACTGTCTCATAGGTAGATGTGGCATCTTCTCTGGAAGTACTCTTCCTCCATCCAGGGGTGGTATCTGTAACTGGTGGAGATGCACAAGGTAATGTATCAATTTCACTTGAAGCTTACTTGTAGTTTCATGCTTGGTCAAGCGCGATACAAACCATGTAGTAGGAGTCCCCCAAGTCGCCGAGCTAGGGGATCTGCTGAAAGAGGTGACAGACAAGGTAAGCAATCAGAGCTCCGGCTGATTGTTCACATTCTCCCTATCTTGCAGGCAGCATGAAGGATAAAGAGAAGAAAAATGAGGAGAGATGATATGGGATACTTTTTCTTTTGAAGAAGTAACTTTCCACAGGCTTATTCTTGAACTGGGCTGGAGGGTTTTCTGGTTTCCTCCAGAGTATAAGGCCGACTGAAGAATTTGAGGGTCAAAACAAGTCCATCAAATCTAGAGTACGTTCGACCCTGCTGATATGGGATACTTTTGCTTTTGACAGAGTAGTGGATGTATCGGCACGTGTGCTGTTACGCTTGTCTCCACATGCTTCCTTGTATCCTTCTCACTTGCCCTATTTGTTCCTCAGGCAGATGCGGTATCTTCCCTAGAAGCATAAGATGTTGAAGATGAGTACTCGAGAGCAATGCCAGGTAAGTAATCAGGTAAGGGGTTCCAGGCAGTCAGTTCCTGGCTGGAAGCTTGATTCCAAGTGCTGACTGATTGCTCTCTTTCTCCTTGTCTTGCAGGTAAGAACAAGGCCAAAGGAAAAGACAGGGAAAAAGCATGATATGGGATACTCTTGCTTTTAACCCTGATGATATGAGATATTCTTGCTCTAGTATAGCTTGTTTACAGAGGTATTATCGGGGGGAAAGAAAGCTGAATATTTCGAAAGGCTTCGTTGGGAGTGCCCTCTCAGATAAGAGAAAGGGTTGAGCATTTTTGCAGGTCTGCCTGTCCGTTAGGGATGGAGGTCGACATATATAGAAGTCTCCCTAACATCAAGTAATAATGCTATTCCTTTACCCTGCTTGGTTATAGCACGGTAGTGGGAGCTGCCAGCTTCACATGTTTTAACTCTGTCAGAGCACTTTGAAAAAGTGGTCTGTGGTATCTGGAAAGCTGATGTTGCGTGTGAAGATTACAGACAAGCTTTCCAAGGAGATCTAGCTCTTGAAGTTGGGAAAGTGGTGCCTCTTCGATTTTCGAACAAGCAATCCTGTCGGGGATCTGGCTCTCGAGATTCGGAGAACGATGCCTCTTTGATTTTTGAGAAAGCCATCCTGCTGGGGGTCTGGCTCTCGAGATTCGGAAAGCAGAGTCTCTTCGATTTTTGAGAAAGTAATCATGTTGGGAGTCTGGCTCTCGAGATTCGGAGGGCGGTGCCTCTTCGATTTTGGAAAACCACACGCTAGTGCAAGACAGGAAAATGAAGAATCGAACATACTTATATTCCTGAACTGGTAATATTCCCATCTAAGTTCCTCGTGACTTTTATCTTCAGAAACCAGCATGCTCGACATTGACTGCAATGTACTCGCTTCACCTCCTGTGCTCCCAAAGAGAGAGAGAGAGAGTCTTCAGTCATTAAAGGTATTCAAAATAATGGAGTAATTGCGCATTTAAAGATGACTCTCTCGCAAATGAACTCAAGAACATGTTAACCAAATAACAAAGAAATACCGCGGATAACAAATACGTGTAAGCCGATAGAGGTTATTGACAAGCGACTAAAGTGGAAACTAAAAAATATAATACTTGTGAGTTAAAAGGTACCTCTATTCCCCAACTGATAATCTTCCCATCTAAATTCCTCGTGACTTTTATCTTCGCAGACAGGCATCCTCGATATTGACCAAATTCTTTCTAACGCTCCAACTCCTGCGCTTCCAAATGTAGAGGGGGAGTCGTCAGTATTTACAGGTTTTCCAAACAATGAACCAATTGAGCACAGAGATATGGCCCTAACAAATACATATAATTTGCTTAACGGCATCAAAGTCCGGTAGGTCTTTGTTCCAATCCCTAGGACTCTAATTTCGTTTCTACTTCTTCTACGATAAGAACTTACATGCACATGAGGTGCCACGGTGGCAATATCTCGAGATAATCATGTAATTCCTTATACAAGCAAGTATAGACTACGTAAAACGCTATAATTTGAGTGAACAATTGTCGCCTTAAATATAAAACAATTCAATTCCTCACACAAAAACTAAACATGCAATAAACATTTAGCTCTTCCAATTTTAAAATCCGAACTGTTTAAACAACATATCCAATCTCATAGAGAAATCGAAGTACCAAACAGACTACAGTAAGCGAAATTAAATAAACTGGAAATTGCACTTTAGTCCTGCAGAGAAAACAGAATTGGAAGAAGGCCCCAACAATCTCATCTGTTTTCAGTAAAATCTCAATATTATCAAACAGTTGCAATGCAATTCAGAAGAATCGTCATCGGAGCTTACCAACCAACGTGTGCTTAATTCCATCCACCGTAAATTTCATCCACTTCTCCCTAAAATTCCAAACAACAGCGCCTAGAGACTCGAGCCAATCGGCCCCGAACACCACGTCGCAATCCGGCAGCGGAGAAACGTGAAAGTCCGAAACGTACTCGTATACTTCAATCTCCACCCGCAGATTCGATACGACGTCGTCGGTTCTCGCCGCCGTGCCGTTTGCAAGCGGAAAAGAAAGGGAGAGATTCCGATCGACTTCGAGGCCGAGTTCACCTACAATAGATGTGCTTATGAGGTTCAGGGCGGATTCGGAAGCCACCGACACAAGGATAGTTCGACCGCCGATGAATCCGACGAGTCGCATTGGTTGCGGCCGAGCTCTGGTTTCCATGGCGTCCGGTTTCAGAGGGAATGGAGGTTTTCCGGGGTGGGATTAGGGAACTAGGGCAGCTGAGCTTTCTGAAATGTGGATTTGGCGGTAAAATGTTGAGGGAAGGGAGGGGAGAGCTTTTAGCCCCCGCGAATCATGGGAATGTCAGAATTCGGAGAAAGCCCAAAGGTTTTCTAAATTATAATTTTGGCGATAATTTGAAACTATATAATTGTATGGATTGAAATTTCTGGGCTGGGCTCCTAGACTTCAGGTGAATCAAATTGGACTATTTTGGGGCCCAGAACGACTATCCAAAAAAAAAAAAAAAAAAAAAAAAAGAAAAGAAGTTATTCTCATAACTACATGGCTTGTAAAGTTAGTAGCCAGTCAAGGTAGTATATTCGTCTCCTTCCAGCTAAGTTCAAATTTTCTTCTCTATAACGTCGAGCAAGTTAAATTATTGCATTATAAATCAAAATTGACAAAATTTATCATGTTGTTTACTTTAGTCATATTTTTTTGTTTCAACTAGGTATACATGTGTATATTGCAGCATTGACATTTTGCGAGCAATACGACCTTGAAATTTAAGGTTAGGGTTTTGGGATTAGTATTGAAATTATACGTTAAATCTTTATATAAAGCCAACCACCCCTATTGGGGTCACAAGCTTCACAAAAAAAAAAAAATAATAAATTAAGAAGACAAAAATGCTCCCAAAACAAAAAAAATTCGAAAGCAATCCAAAATAAAGCACCAAATAATGCAGGGAGATTTTCGTCATTTTAACGGTGTTTTTTTTAATTAATTCTTTTTGTACCGTTTTTTTATTAGTACCTCACAATAGGCTAGTAATACTATGATTCAATCAGTTGTTTATTAAATTTTATTTTCTCTATTTTTAAACATGTTCAAAACATCTTAAGAGGCATGTGATTAAATTAGTTGTCAAATGATTTTTTTTTTAACAAATGATATTATCTACACTAAGAGGGAGAAGGTGGGCTTAGCCTCACAATGGGTTAGGAATAATGTGATTCAATCTGTTGTTTATTATTTTCTTTATTATTAATGTAAATTCAATAGAATGTAGATGGAAATTGATATACCGATTTTATTATGTGAATTCCGCTACTTTGATTGGTGAGGGGTTTTTTATAGCATGATCTAAGATTATTCATTTACTTCAAATATTTGACTTTTCTTTTGTCAATTCACGTATATAAATACATGTAAATGTGTAAATTGCGCATAGCACGCTGTGATTCAAAAGATGCTTTTTGAGCGTGTGCATGAAGGCTAGTGATAATTTAATTTGAGCATAAAATGTAACAACAACATATATCAATTTATTCAAAATTATTTTCAACTCTAATACACACGTACACGATCATGCTAGATACAAACTTAATCTAAACTACATATTAATGAAACTCTCTTTGTCAACCAAAAGAGGATGAAAAGACATTTTTGTCTTCTGTCTTAAACTAAAATAATGGACAATAAAGTAATTTTGCACAAACTAAATTTTACATTTTTTTAAAAGTATCACCTACAGGTGATCTTAACAAATCTTTAATTTAGAAAATAAAACTAAAAACAAATACTTATCGAGCATTTTCACTTCCTCTCTTTCTCTCTCTTTATCCTTATTTTGAAAACAAAAATAAATAAAAAATTATCCACACACACAAAATATGGAGGCATATGCTAGTATCTTTTAATTTAAGTGAACTAATAACATTATCTTAAGAAAATAGAAATGCCACACGATGCTACCATCAAATTAAAATTAAAATAAAATAAAATTCCAATAGCAAATGTCTTGTATCGAAATTCGAATCTATGAGAAAACTCATTTACCTTTAGTAGGATAATTCCATTTTTTTGATATTAGAGATGGTCATAGGCAACAAAACAAAACGTATGACAAGACATTGAGAGCATGACATTGTATAGTAAACAAATATAAAGAACTTCCTAGTGTTATTAAAATTGGAGTGAACGAAAACAAAAAAAGCAGGTTGTGCAATGTCGATTTTTAATTGGTTTATTAATAAGACAAAATATCATTAACGTCGTACCCAATCATAAGAAATACGAGATCGTAATGTCCCAAATGCCCCTAGTAAATTCCCTCCCTATAGTGCTTTTCGCTCTCTCTTCCCTCTCTCTCCACTTACCAAAAAAAAAGCAGGTTGTGGAATGTCGATTTTTAATTGGCCTCATGCTTCGGCTCAACGCCGATGGCAAACCCTCTTTCAATTTTTCTAGCCTTCCTCCTTTATATTCTCATTAATTGTTGCTTATTTATTTTTTGTCTTGGTATTTCCGTCAATAAGTGCCTTTTTAATGTGGTTATTTATAAGTCTTTCTTCATGAGTATTTTAATATTGTGTTGGTAAGTTATTGGCTACTCCTGAGATTACTTTATTAAAAGCGATGTCATTGTTGATGGTGTTGCGCATAAAAGTCATGGTAGTATGGACACTAGTTGGTTCATAGTCAGTTCCTTTTTAGAGTCGGCGCTAGTGGTTGTCAAACCGTGAGCTCATGTTCGTTATATTCAAGGCTTTGTGTTTAGAAGTTCATAAAATGTTAATTCGCTAAATGTGGAGTTTCTCTAGCTTTGGAGTGCCATCTCAGTACTCTGAGTTTGTGTGTAAATGATTTCAAGACCTGGATGTGTTCCTTTGCTTATTATTGGGTTTGTCTCGCCCTCAAACCCACTTGTACCAGTGATTATTAGTTTCGCCAAGTTAGCCTTTTATGTTTTGTTAAAGTTTCTCTGAGTTGAGGATCTATTGAATGTTATCTTGAATACACTATTTGATATTCCTATCAATTCTTAACATTATATAATAAACTGTTGTAGTTTCGTCTAAAAAAAATCTCTCTGGTAAGTGAAATGGTAATTTATACAAATAAAAAAGGATAATTCTACTAAATTCATCTAAATTACGATGGTTTAGCCAACTTAACTAAACTCATATCTGACAAGTTAAACTATATATTCAATGATTCTTCATCTAAGAAATGATACTCATTCTTTTTCTCCTAGTACACACCTTTGTTTAATTATATACATTATTTTCGTTTTAATTATCTAATCTGATGACGAGAAATTAAAAAAGGACGAGAGATTCTTCGCATATTGGTAATTTGCAAGATTCCATTTTTTCTACAGCAGTTATTTCAAACAATACAGCGTTGGGTTACAAATCGAAGTGTTTTACAGTCTGGAATTTTCAAATTTTCTTCGGCGAATTTCGGCTCTCATTTGTGGCGAAATGCACGGAAGAAATTTTTTTTGGTATTTTGGGTATTTCCCGCCCTTTTATCTTCCCTCCTGTCGCATCGACAAGGCAGCGACATATCGTATGCAATGATGCGGATTCCCAACGATGCATCGAAAATTACAATAAAGAGAAACCGGAAGCAAAAAACAACAGCTGACCATTTCTCCAATTATTTTAATCCTCCGACGTTTAAAACAATTAAAGCCTGCCAGACTAGAACGGCGACGTTTTTGTCACCTTGTAATCTGTCGGCTTCTTCGATTCCCGGATTCTTCAGCTATCCTATGAGTATAAATCGACGACCAATCCGTTCTCTGACGGTTTCAATCAGATACCGAAGCAAAACGACGACGGGTTTAGTAAATGGGTTTGCGCGAACAAAACGACGGCGTACGGAGGAGGAAGAAGTCATCGACGAGGGGGCACCACCGGTTCGTGGGGGTGCGGCAGAGGCCGTCCGGGAGGTGGGTCGCAGAGATCAAGGACTCTCTGCAGAAAGTGAGGCTCTGGCTTGGGACTTTTGACACCGCAGAGGACGCGGCTCGTGCCTATGATGAGGCTGCCCGAGCACTCCGCGGTGTCAACGCCCGAACCAATTTCGAGCTGCCACAGAGTAATGGGGCCGGAAATGGTGGCGCGGGCGTGGCGGAGAATGTGCCTTTTTCGTTTGAGGCGGTGTGTGGGAATGAGGTGGAAGCTGAGGGGTTGCTGGGTGCACTTAGAGCTAAGCTGCAGGATGGTAAGGTGATAAATTGTGTGCTTCCACAACCACCACAAGGAAATAGTGGCACTAAAGCGGAGCCGTCTCCGGTTGATCCACGTGGTGCGGTGGCGGAATCCGTCAACCTGCCACCACCCCACAAGGACTATCCAATTGTATTAGATAATCAGTGGCAACTTCAGGTTCACCCAGCACCATCAAACCAAACCATGGTGTGGGCCAACGAGAGCCAAGTAGCATATGAGCAAGTGCATAATTGGTCCACGTGGCCGAATAACAGTATGCCGTATGTACCAGAACAGTGCTCTATGGAGCTTCCGTTGCCGGCGGTGGGCACGCAGCTTCTGTCACAGATTGATGGTAGTGGTGGTGGCGGCGATGGTGGTTGGTGTTCAGATCAGCAGCAGTTTTTGCACTGTGACGGTAGCAACTGGGGAGGAGCTAATGCCAATTGGGATCCTCCTTTTTATGCTTCCTCTGTGCGGGGTGATGGGATCATATCATATAATTAATCTATGCAATTCTTTTTGTTTTACCATATTAACCTTACAAGCTAGTCTTTGCAGACTAATCAATTCTTTCAAGTACGTGCCCCAATAAATTATAAACCCTACTCGGGTACGCATTTCCGACCGTCATTCATAAGTAACTCACGAAAGTATGAGAACTTTTGTAGTTCAGTATGAGAGTTAGCTCTATCAAGGTTTCTCTTATTTGCGTGTTGTAGTAGTCAGTGACTACCTTAAAGAAGATGTAATCGATATTTGTACATTTATATATGGTTTAGTTAATAATTTTTAACGTGTATTAAGCTTCGGATTCTAGCGATTATTTTCATTCGCATGATTTTTGAATTTGTCAAAAAATTACCAACATGAAAAGGAATTGTACTGAGAAAAAAGAACTGCAAAATTTGGCATTTGGTCACATTTCCAAACTTGCTACATCAATTCCATCAAACAAGAAACACCTAAGTAAAGCTACTTGTAGGAGGTATGATAACGAAATGCGTCTTTCTTCTTCGAATTCAATCCTCCTTGTTTCCCCTGCAAAATGAAAAGATAGCAGTGAGGTGTGAGCGCAAAATTCATTTTAGATCGTGCTGGAGAAATGAATAGAGATTAACTGTTCATTAGAAGCATCATCCTCAACGTTCGATCATTTTCGCATTAGATCAGCCACACCCCTTTTACCTGGAGGACAAGAGCAAAGTGAATGTTAGATACAGAAACATCAATTTCTTTAATGTGAGGTTTAACATTAACAAACTAAACTATCACTCAACAAAAATTAACACATGAAAGATGGCAAGATAATGAGAAGGACCGGGATTAAAACCCTTTCAAAGCAAGCTTAGGACACAACTTTAAGTACTCAAAAGTGTAAAACTTTAGAACTCTCAGGTTTCCAGCTCAGAATTTGCATCCCCATCAACTGATAGGTTGCATGTATTTATAATAATCTTGAGATTACATCAGGGGTTTATCATCCCTATTTACACGGCAATATTTGAATTTGAATAATACAACATATGTGAAAATAAACTTTAAAACATTAAAATAATCTAGACCTATCAGAGTTATCCTTGGATAAGGACTGCATTCCTGAATAACAGACTTTAGAGTTTAAACATGAGCTAGATTCTTGATAACTCTGACTTGGTCTAACAGCCCCCCGCAAGCTGACAGCCCGAGAAACAACTGGAAGCTTGGACACCAAAAGCTTGAAATGCGAGGAAGACAAACCCTTTGTAAACAAATCAGCAATATGATCTTGAGAACAAATAAATTTTACCAGAAGCTGTTTTCGAACCACTTTCTCACGGACATAGTGATAATCAACCTCCAAGTGTTTTGTTCATGAATGAAAAACGGGATTGGAGGCTAAGGCTATTGAAGAGACATTCTCACACCATATGTGTGGAATATGAAGATGCAAATGAAGGTCTCTGAATAACAACCTTAACCAAGATAGCTCAGCAGCAGTGTAGGCTAGTTGCCTATATTCGGCTTCCATACTCGACCGAGAGAAAGTCTTATGTTTCTTTGAACTCCAAGACACCAGATTTGGTCCCAAATAAATACAAAAACCTCCTGTAGAGTGGCAGGTATGAGGATTGCCCGCATAATCTGCATCAGAGAAAGCATGCAATTGCATATCTCCAGGTTTATAAACAAGACTATTATCATACGTGGCCTTCAAATACTGCAGGATGCGTTTCACTGCCATCCAATGAGTATCCTTGGGTGAGTGCATAAATTGGCACACCTAGTTAACGGCATAGGAAAGATCTGGTCTCGTGATGGTAAAATACTGCAGCGCTCTTGTGAACACGGAAATTTCCTGAAACAAGAACAACGTGTACAAAATAATATTTTGGTGTTAATGGATTTGTAGGGTTACGATCTCTTTTAACTTGATCATCTGATTCGATCTCCGTAAGGTGTTGATTTATGGATGTTGTTGATCCAAGGGCCGTTGAAGCTTGATCTTGGATGAACGGTTGGGAGCTTTTTCAAGGGCCGTTGGGGGCTTGATCTTGAAGAACTGTTGTGTAGATTTGTTGATGTTGTTGATCCAAAGGGCCGTCGGGGCTTGATCTTAGGATGAACAGTTGTGTGACTTTGGTGATGTTGTTGATCCAAAAAGGTCGTCGGGGCTTGATCTTAGGATGAACAGTTGTGTGGATTTGTTGATGTTGTTGATCCAAAGGGTCGTTGGGGCTTGATCTTAGGATGAACAATTGATGAACGATGAACACTTTCTTCAAGGGCCGTCGAGGCTTGATCTTGAATTGATGGAAGTTCTTCAAGAGTCGTTGGGGCTTGATCTTGAAGGAGGATTTGACGAAGAATGAAGAGGGCTTTCTTGATCCTTCGAGATTTGCTTGAGAGCTTTAGAGTTTCAAAGCTTCAAGGTTTTGGGGAATTCTCTTCCAATTTGGGAGTAGAGAAATGTATTTGTGAATTTTAGGATAATTGATACCTTGATGAAGAAACCTATTTATAGGCTTTGAGAATGAATTACCACCACAAAATTGATCGGATCATATTTATATATATTTTTACTTCGAATTCACTCATCTTTTCTTAGTTAGTTCCTTATATTTTTGAGCTATTTACGTTATTTTTGTGTTTATAGGATTTGTTATGCAAAGAAAATAAAATTAGCACAAATGGGTTTAAATAATAAACAGGAAAGTGGAACACGGGTGGACCATTAGAAAAATAATGGAGCAAATAAAAGAATTAAAGATGGAGCAAGTGGATCGTTAATTGTGAATTGAAATGGCTGCCTTTTTAAGAAGTGGGAGAGCACGGACGAAAAATATAATTGAAAGGAAGGAAGTGGAGTGCAAAGAATAAAAGAATAAGAAGGAGATGGAAGGCAGGTCAGAGGGGATATAATATAGGAGAGCAGCAAAGCTGCCAGAAAAAAGAAATAATAAAAAAAAAGGGAAAAGGAGTGAGACGGGAGAAATAAGAAGGCAGCTTTAAGGAGAAAAGGACACGGACCGAGGCGCGGGGGGGAAAGAAAAGCTGCCTTTGCAGCTGGCGAGTCAGAGGAAGCTGCCTTAGGCAGCGTGAGAAACAGAAGGCAGGGCAGAGAGAGAGGAGTGACGGGGAAGAGGAGAGCAACGCGAGAAACAGAACACGCGGCAGAGGAGAGACCAAGAGGAGAGACCAAGAGAAGGGACGGACTAACAAGAGGAAATAAAAGGACGGACTGACAGAGAGCAGTGAGGCGCAGAGGCAGGACAGAGGGGAGAGAAGGCAAAGGCAAGGAGAAACTGACGGGAGCAACACAGAGAGCAAAGTTTCACTCCAATTTTTCTTGGTTTTATCTTCTCAAACTCATGTTTTACTTTTGGTTTAATTTGATAATAATGTGTAACTAAATTTATTTTGGCTAGAGGTTAATTCAAAGCCATGAATATATTTGTAATATGAATTGATTACCTTCAGTTGTGATTTCTGAGTTGTGATTTAATTTGCTTAACTGCTTGATTGATAACTAATTTGTGTATGTTGGTTGAGAGTGCACGCTTAATTTTCATGCATGAATTTGATGCTAGAATATAAGGGAGTTTCACCTAATCGTTATGAACTTATATTCACAAGTAGTGAAGGTTGTTATCCACAATCGTGTTAAGTGAATTCTAGGCTGGATTAACATGCGTATTCCATAGTTATGAATGCCTAGTCAATGTTTATGATTTCCGTTGAACTTAATGATCTTTGTTGAATGTCTCTATCATGCGTATTCCATAGTTAGGGATTTTGATGAGGAATAATTTGGTTTGTAATGCGTATTCCATTCAATCCAATGAATCTAGGGAAATCTAAGAGTTAATTTAAGCGGACCTAATTAACTTGGAACATTGTCATTCACAATTTATTGAAAGAACAACTGAAAAATCAATTTAGGTTGCATATGTATCATGTGTGGAGAAAAACCCTCTAGCTAGTCCGTCACCTATCCTTTCACCTTAATTTCATGCTTTTGTCAATTCTGTAATTTATTTAAGTTTAATTTACTTCTCGTCAAAACCAAACCCCCCATTATTAAATTATATTATTTAGTTAGTTTTCATTGTTTTTAGTCTTTTAATTCAATTTCCGTCCATTTCAGTTTCTAGTGTCTAATTTGATTGTTTTCATTATTTTGAGTCATTCTAAGTGTGTTTCGAGTTATTAGAGTTTTTAGCCTAGTTTTGTGTCCTTGAGTCTTGTTTAATATTTTTAAATTAATTTAGAATAGATTAGCAATCCCTCCTAATCCCCGGCCTAGAACGATACCCTACTTACATCTATACTACAATTGTCAAAAAGAGGGTTTAATTTGTGTGTCAAGTAATTCTCACATCAAATTTTGGCGCCGTTGCCGGGGATTAGCAACTTTGCTAATCCCTTGGTTCTTTTCTTTTTGTTTAGTTTGTTTTTGTTTTAGTTTCTGACCTAGTTTTGTTTTCCTTGTTTTGTGTTACTTTTGATATTTGATTTAGTTTTCTTTGATTTCAGGGTCTAGAGAAGTAAGACATGGATTTTGCTAACATTCAAGCTCAATTGGCGAATCTTACTTCTCAATTGTCACAGATTGCCGGAAGGACCACAATGCCAAGTGTCCCTACATTTGATGTGCCCTATGGGCAAGGATATCAACATCCTCAATTCACTGTGAACGAAGATGCTTGGGGTTATCAAGGCTATGATCAACCAAGCAACAACATGTTTTCCAACGCTTACAATTCGGCTTGGAGAGATCATTCAAATTATATGTGGGGGGAACCTCAACAATTGCAACAAGATGGATATTGGCAGCAAGAGGAGGAGTTCTATTCAAAACCTATGCAATATGCTCAATCAAACTCAGGTTCGTCAATAAATTATAATCAAATTCTTAATGAATTAAATTGTTTGGTGCAGGGCTCACAAAATCAAGCCAAGGAGGCTCAACAAGATGGATATTGGCAGCAATCTGAGGAGTTTTTAACGCCTATGCAGCCCACCGC